TTCAAAAGCATTAAGGTATGTTTGGGTGCTGCACTCCATATATGTGAGCAGTACTCCATAGTTGGTCGAATCTGGGCTTTGTAGAGTGTCAGCAATTGGCTTGGTGTGTACAGATGTCTTGTACGAAATAGCACCCCCAGCTTTTGGGAGGCCCTTTTAGCAATATCTGCCACGTGACTGTGCCAAGACATGTTGGTCTCTGCAGTAACCCCCAAGATGTTCAACTGACTCTGTAATGTGACAGCACTTCCAGATAGCATGATGTTTGGCTCACCGGTGCTGGTCTTTTTTGAAAACAGAGCTGCTTGGGTTTTCTGCGCGTTGAACTGTACAAGGTTTTTGTTACCCCAGTCCTCTATTATCTCCAGGTCGTTATTTATCTGCGATATTTGAGTTAGTCTAAGATGATGGAATTCACGTGCGGAAAGACCTGTCGGTGGTATGAGTGAGGAGACTACATTGCCATCGTCTGCAAAGCAATAAAGTGGATTTACTGTTTTATCTATGAGGTCATTTATGTAAATCAGAAAAAGAGTTGGCGAAAGGATTGCTCCCTGTGGCACACCAGCATTTATTTGGTAAGAGTTGGAGTTCTGGCCATCCAGTGCAACATAAATGGATCTGTCCTTTAGGTAACTTTCAAACCAAGTGCAAAGTTTCGGCGATAATCCCATTGCTTTGAGCTTGTTGAGCAGATTTTCATGCCAAACTTTGTCGAATGCTTTAGATATATCTAAGGCAATTGTTCTTGTTTCACCCCGCAACTCAATCGCTTTTTGCCATAAGTGAGTGACGTATGTAAGTAAATCGCCAGTTGACCTATATTTTCGAAATCCGTATTGCTTATCGTTGATAATTTTGTACTTTTCCAAGTACTTGGTTAGGTGATTGTTCACAACTCTTTCCATTACTTTTGATATCACCGGAAGTAGAGCAATGATGCCTTTATTTATAACTATTACCTTCTCTAAAACTAATACACGACGCGAAGACACTGTCCTACAAAAGCCGCATACTAAATTCATCGAATAGATCTAAAGAGACTTGGAATGTCGTCCGAGACTTAACTGGAGAAACTAATGCTCAACCCCAACATATAGATATTGAACCTAACACTCTGAATAATCATTACTGCTCAGTTGCAACCAACCTAGATAAAGATATCCAATCTGGCACCGATCCATTATCATAAGTCACGCGTAAGAGACTCATTTTTATCTATACCAACAAATATCACTGAACTTAAATTGACAATAAAATCTATTAAAAATAAAAACGCAGCTGGTTCAGATGGCTTATCTGCTAAAATCTTGAGTGACCTCTCTGATCAGGCACAGCCGGTTTTGTCTTATGTCATAAATAAATCATTTCTGGAGGGATCATTTCCATCAAGTCTAAAGAAAGCTACGGTAGTTCCAATTCACAAAAATGGAGACACGAAAAATCCTGCAAACTATCGGCCTATCTCATTATTGTCAACAATATCCAAAATTATTGAAAAACTTGTTAAAAACGCATGATGAATTTTCTGATATGCCATGATGTCTTCAATAGTGCTCAGTTTGGCTTTCTTTCCAGAAAAAATACATACGACGCAATACTTGAAGTAATAGAGCAACTTTTCAGACATTACAATAATGGCAGCGATGTTCTGTGACTTTTTCAAGGCTTTTGACTGTGCGAGTCACAGAGCGTTGCTGCGAAAGCTGGAAGCTTACGGTTTCAGGGGAGTTGTCCTACAATGGTTCGAATCCTTCTTGACCAACCGCACTCAGAATGTCAGGGTGAACGGAGAATGTTCCTCTAGCCAGGTTATTGACCACGAAGTAGCACAGGGTTCGGTTTAAGGACCGATCCTATTTTTGCTCTATATTAATGACCTATTACACATACACATGAATATGTGCGGCATTTGCCGATGATGCAACGGTTTTGTGGCATGCAGGGAAATCGCGAGAGTTGATTCGGGTAATTTCTCAAGATCTAGTTAATATTGAACACTGGTGTAACGCAAATGGGCTTCTTTTCAACTTTAACAAGACTCAAGTACTAAGTTTTCGCTGTAATATGGATGATATCGTATGTGATCAGTTTTTAATTAAATCTTCCACAAGTACTCCATTTCTGGGACTTCAGATCGACGTCAGTCTGAAATTACAATCACATATCACTAAGCAAAAAACTCCCTTCAGGATATTACTGTGTCCGAGCCGTAGCTACCCATTTAGGTTTACAAACTGACAGATCAGTCTATCATGCAGAGTTTGAGTCACATCTTGCATACGGCTTACCTTTCTGGGGATGTTGTAGTCAATACCTGTTTGACTCTGTTTTTAGACTGCAAAAAAAGATCAATAAGGTTCATTGTAAGTGCCCCGATAAGAACTCATTGTAGACCACTATTTCTACTCCATAAAATCCAAAATCTCCCCGCACTGTTTATTCTGTGTTAGTCTAATACATAAGAGATCTGGAACCACACGCCAAACAAATATAAATGCTATACCTCTTCCTACTCTTCATACCACACTGGTACAAAAATCAATAATTTACAACAGCCTGAAGATTTATAATCATTTACCTGATAGCCTTTTGTCCAAGTCGGATCTTGGCAAAGTTTCGAAAAGCACTGAAGGAAATTTTGGTTTGTAGTATAACATACCTAGGTTCGCTCAGTAAGATTGAACAGTGTGAATTTTTATAACCTTTTAAACAAACAAATCTTCTGAAAAATGAAATGAAAAACAAATAGGACCTACGTTGTGGAAATTTACTAATTTCACTTAATGGACATGCGCCCGACATAGCAAATATTTGGGAAATTTAAGGGAAGTTGTGATATGTAAAAAAAACTAAAAATTTGTGAAACGTCTCCTTTATTATCAAAGAAAACGTACCGTTCTCGACCTGGAACTAACGAGGGAAAAGAGAACGGCAGAGAAAACCTCGATCGAACATTCCCCAAAAATCGAAACATACTGTGTCATTTTAATAATAATTATGAGTCACTAATTCAATAATTTAAGTCAATAAAAGTTTAAATTAGGTACCATCCTTTGTTCTTGTGCTAAAATTTCAATTACACACTCTAGATTCAATCAACACTACCTATAATCAATACTGAAGAGTTTTTGTTAGTTAGCCAGTTTCCCAGCAGGTACTGAGGTCCCATACGAAAAGCTACTCAGCTATAGTTGTTTTTGAGCCAATATCTCTAGATTGATTATTTCAATTTGTTAGGATATTCTCTCGTCAGGGTAGGAAAATGTTAGTAAATTCAACAAGGCTCTAATGCACGCTCTAAATCCAAAAATCAAAATCCTAGCACAAAAAGACAGCACATAATTTCTTAGGTTTTAATTTACTCCTTAGCTGTGTTGTTTACAGTATGAAACGATTTTGGTTAAAAATATAAAAAATGCACATGTTATAAAAAATTGTTATAAACAAACAAAAAAACATAAAAATTGGAAAAAAAAATAATACAGTAGTGTCGCTATAATCCGGATCAATTAAAACCAGACCAATCCGGAATATTAAATTATTCGGATTACTAAGGCATTTTACAGTTCGCTTTTAAAACTATTTTGAAAAAATAACAGGCCGTATTTCAACAAAAAAAACTTTATATTTATTTGAAAGCTCGTCTATAATCGCTAACTTTTCGTTGAGACTTAAAGTTTTGTGTTTGCGTTTAATAGGTTCCATTTTCTTTTTAAAAAAAATCCACACAGTCAGGAAGGACGCCGCGTATTAAATAATGCGTGTAGACATGTAAAAACTACCAATCCACTTGAACGCAGTTACAAAACGACAAGTGAAAACCTGTGCTTTTATTTTCAAGAGTCATGTGAATGAATTCGAATTACTGAATCAAGTGAAATCCGGATTACAGAGTACATTTATCGAGACACTACTGTACTTGCGTAAATTGAACCCCTCAAAAACCAAATAATAATTAATCCACTAACCTGTACGTTCCCTACACACACACACACACACACTCAAATTGGATTGAACAATTAATTTTAATGCAAAATAGGAATAAAAATTGAATAATCAATAATTACAGACGTGTGGTTTTCCTCAGGTTGCACAAGCATTTTATTCTATTGATGAATTTCTAAATTTCTCCTTTCGTGAAACAAGGAACTACTGAATAGCTATCTATTCAACCCCACCTAGTTATAATATTCTGTTGCTAATTGTGTGATAATATCTTTCTCCTGTATAAGTTTACGAAAGCTTTTGAATATAATATACCTAATTAAGTACTTTTTCCTATTTTAAACTGTTTTTTTTTTTCTTGTTTTGATTTTTTTTTTTTTTTCCTAATTATTTTTTGTTCATAAATAACATTGGAAGACTTTGTTGGGTGCATATTAACCAGAATTAATTGTTAATCCTTTTTATCTATTTGTTGAATAATATAAAGCTGTCACTTGTCAGATATTTTTGTCTTTTTATTTTTCTTGCTTCTTATACTCTGAGTGTTTTTATGTGTAGATACTTTATTTGTAATTTTTTAATGAGTAGATTTAGGTGTTATAAATTAAGTTTGCTTTGTCAATAAGATTTAGAGTTTCTCGGACAATAAAGCACTACTACTACTACTATAGAGGGTCCTAAAAACGCATCGTTTTCAGACTACTACCCAGGGCGCAATTCTCCTAATAATTGATCCTTAAAACTGAATTGTAACTTTTGCTGGTGAAATTTTTTTTGGAATATTGAAAAACTTGCTCTTACTGCACTGATATTTAGTTTGTCAAAAATGCACGAAATACAGATTTTTTTCCTTCCTCAACTAGGTATTCGTGTATACTGCGAAGCAAATTTAATTTATAATAAAACAATTATTCTGGCTTTCCCTTTGCGCTTGATGAAATAAGAAAAGCCAGTGTCTAAATTGACTTTGCAGAAATTACTTCCGCTAATGAAAACAATAACGCACCAAGAATATTTTTCGTTGAAGTTTAAGGGATATTACTTCATGAATAATGTATGGTAATTTCATAGCTTCTGAAGCGTAGTGTGCGTTAGCGTAATGCTCTTATTACAACGTATCATTTTCAACTGTTAAGTACAATTAAGTGAAAAAAAAAAAAAAAAATTACCAATAATAAATTCTCTGGTTGATCTAAGTAGTTTCATTATAATTTTAACACCTTGATGTTGAGTGTTGATCATCCTTTGTATGTAGGTACAAAACTACGGCGTGAATAAATTATTGTACGTCTTAGCTATGTGTGATCACCATTACACACCATAATAATTATTGACTGGCATGGCGAAAAAACTAGTGCAATCGCATTCGTTTTGCAAACAAAGTCGCAGTCGTATCTTGAATAGTGTTCTCATCCCAATGGCACCTATCTATTGAAATACAACACGCTTTATTGATATTTTTGATTACCCAAACATTCATCCATCAATAAAGGTACTATATTAGAAATGAGAAAAAAGCAAAATACGAGCCAATTTTTCTCCTTGTTTAACAACTCCTAAATAATTTTTTGTATGAATTTATTATATATACATATAGTATACCTACGACATTAGTTAAGAAGCACACTTCTTTAGTCATATGCATTGTTTAAAATAATATAGGAATTACTTATTTTCTTTGGCTAATTGTCAAATAAATATTTCACCTAGCAATAAACCAATTCCTCGTCCTGCCAATAAATTGTTCGCCGTTGCTCTCTAGCTTTATTAAAAATGTATGGTCCTTGCTGGGGCGGAACAAATCATGAATCAGGCTAAGCAGTCGTCTGTTCGGAATCTTTATTACCGATTATCGTTTCCAAAGGTTTGTAAACTTTACTGATTAAGTTTTATTTACCATAGACTGCAAACATTTTCATTTTAACAATAGATAATGTTTTAACCCCATCAAATCTAGATTTATTTAAATATTGACAGCTTTGAAATATTTTTTCTTGAAAATATCTGGATGCTTAAAAAAAAAATTTGTTTTACCTTAGTTACCCAAACCTCCACTTTAACAAATTTTCTTCAAGTATCGTTTTTCACATAGGAAATTGCACTGCAAAGAAGGTAGGTCTTTATTCCTCCTACTATTTTTTATAAAACCACCTATCCATTTAAGAACCTCATCAAGTAGATGGAAAATTGTAAAGCCTGAATATTACGAAAACATCTGGAGATATCAGAGTGAACTTGACTTCATTAAAAGCACAAAATATTAAACAATATAAATATTTAGTGACATTGCAGTACCAACTGCAATCCCTAACGCTTCCATATGCTCTTGTTTCATATAGTAGGTACAGGGTTATTGGTTATAAATGTCACCACCCCTATATTTTTTTTATTTCACATTTTAGAAAAAAGTGTCTCAAATAAAAGTTTTATGGTTGAAATTAACTTTTTTGAAAAACTCACTTTTGCATATACAGGGTGTTCAGAAAAGCTGGTCATGCTCCAACTTTCTTATGTTAAATAGAATACCCTGTATATTATTGAACATTCGGATTCTACATAAAATTCTGAGCAGATTTCATATGATATACTCTATACCTAAGTTTAACTGTTTTGGAAATATTGACAGTTGAAAATTGACTTTTTTGCAAATTTGACAGGCTGTAAAACCTAAACGGTTGATTTTAGACCAAAACCGCAGGCCTATTCTCTACGAACAGCAACTACATAGCAACCAGCAACCGGTCGCAAGTTGCTTTTTTTGAATAGAAAACTCGGGTTTGACAGCGACAATTGCGCAATTCTCTGCGGTCGCAAGTTACAGAATAAGGCTGCCGATCTCACATTTTAATCTTAGATTTTCATAAACTATCAGTTGACACTAATATTTTAATCCATGATTAAAAATTCCAAATAAATTTAATCTCCGATTAAATTTAAGGTTGGTGTCAAATGATAGCTTATGAAAATCTAAGAAAAAAATGTAAGATCGGTTTTGCTGAAACGTTACCCGCTTAGGTTTTACAGCCTGTCAAGTTTGCGAAAAAGTCAATTTTCAACTGTCAATATTTCCAAAACAGTTGAACTTAGGTATAGGGTATATCGGATAAAATCTACTCAGAATTCTATGTAGAATTCGAATATTCAATAATATAAAGAGTTTTCCATTTAAAATTAGAAAGCTGGAGTACGACCAGCTCTTCTGAAACACCCTGTATATACGAAAGTGAGTTTTTCAAAAAAATTAATTTCAACTATAAAACTTTTATTTGGGACACTTTTTTCTAAAATGTCAAATAAAAAAGATAGAGGGGGTGACATTTATAACCAATAACCCTGTACTTGGCCCTGTTGTAAAAAACTTTTCACGTCTATTTAAATAACTTATAATGAAGCCACCATTTTGCCTTGGCTTGAAACAAAACTTTCATCTAAAAAGCAAATTTCGGCACACCTGATTTTTTTACAGGTTTTTCTCTCATCAATAATTCAACGCCTATTTAAAAACGGGAAGGGGGGAACCATAAGTAGTCTAAAAGCAGCCTCATATTTATAAAATTGCTAATATCAATTTATCTTTCAGAGGAATGGTCCACCGTACACCTTTTGGAGGAGCCCGACTTTGCAGTGCCCATAAATAATTTAACAGTTCCCGTGGGAAGGGAAGCTATTCTGTCCTGCACAGTCAATAATCTGGGGAAATACAAGGTAATGTATTTTATGTTTAGTGTCACTACATTGTATTTTCACATATCGGGTGGTTGTTGTTTTCTATTGCATGCCGACTATTAGCCACTTCAGTATTGAGTAGGTTTTGTATCAAATTAATTTATACAAATTAAAACAAAACCAAACAATACAGTTGTTTATACGAAGGACCGGTACAAAAGCCTGCTTCTGGTTCACTCGATTGGTTAACCTTCCGGAAATCGCGCGCGGACTCTCACTCCGCAACTATCTTACTTAGCCGTTTATTTCAAAAATCGACCAACCGCGGCGCTGTAATTTTAAGTATCTTTCTATCCCGAGTTCTTCTAGAGTCAGTGCTCATCTGTGCGTTGGTGTTTGCGTTTTTTGCCAAATAATAGCCAATGCGGTCTGTGAGAGCTTCTCAATTTTTTTTTTGCATTGAATGCCACAAACGTGTTTTTCTACAAACGTGTTAAAAATGCAATTTTTAACACCCCCCCCCCCCCCCGTAGCATTAAAAATGTTACTTTATAGCACTAATGCCATAAAGTCTTTATAGCACTAGTGTTAAAAATGAAACATCAAATTTTGAGAGTGAACGTCAAAAAAAGTTTGTATTTTTAGCTATTTACATTGATATTAATGGTGAAATTTGAATAACTGAGGTAGCCCGATTGGCCGCCTCATCTATATTTTTCAAGGAATCGATGCAACTCTCTTTTTCTTCTGTATTTTGTTGCATTTTTAGCAAAAAGCATTACTGACCACGACACACTTTCAAGAAATTGAAAAGATATTTCAGTACCTGTAAAACAAGGTTGTTTTGATTTTTTGACAAATGACAATTTCAATAATTTTATGTAGGAAAGATGCTTCCAATTTATTATTCATTTAAAAATCCAATTTGTTACTGGTTATTGCTTTTTATTGCCGTTTGTAGAAAAAATATTGTATGATATTTGTGTTAAAAGCAGGGATGGGCATCTACGCGTAAATAAAGATTGTCTACGTCTGGTGTAAACAACGCGTAGACAATGTAGACTATGTAATCTATGTAGACAACGTGTAAAATATGTAGACAACGTGTAAAATATGTAGACAACACGTAAAGTATACAATTCTTGACAGTTGGCAGGCCTTTAAGGTAAGGTTTCTGTTTTTGCTTTGTTTTGTTTTTTTGCTTTGTGAAGTTAATTAAAATGCAGATAATGTATAATTTGATTCAATATAAATTTAATGCAATGCAAACTTTCAAAAAAAAAGACTCAAATTTTAAATTTTCTGTTGTCTAGATTGTCTGCATAGTTTACATAGTCTACATAAAAAAAGTGGATGCAAACAATACGTAGACAACGAGTAGACAAACCGCGTAAAGTAGATTTCATAGTCTACGGTACATCCCTGGTTAGGGTTCGTTTGACGAAAAAGGAAAAAGTCGATTCAATTAGGCATTCCAACGACCTGTCAAAAAGTGCGTTGTGGCGGAAGTTCATTATCCCGTATATGAGAGTATGTAATTTAAAGCTTTTTAAAGTGCATTTTGTGGTTGTTTTGTGAATTAACTCTGTTTATTTTTTTATTTAATTGACTTAATTAGTATTTCTTCCAATTGAAAATGCCACAAGCGTGTCTTGTAGTTGATTGTGGAAGTAGTTTCAACAAAGTAACAAGGATGATGTCAGGCTTTTTTCATTGCCCTTTGTTTTAGAATTTTCCAATTAAAACGAAAATTTTTCACTACCACTGTTCCTGCATCTGAAATAAAGCCATTTTGGAAATATTCGTAAGAATCTAAGCTTTTGTAGGCCTTCATTTGCTCATTAATATGAACTGTGGATCAAAATGTCATCTGGACATTTTTTAAAACTAACCGTTCGCCCAGATCCCGATTTTCCTGCATTCAAGTCTTTAAATATTCACTCTGCATCTCAAAAAGTATATTATAACAAAGCAAACTGTAATTAGCTTGAAAATATTCCAAATAAATTCAAGATAAACAAACAAACGTCAAATTTTCCACGGTCGCCATATTGAAAAACAGTGGCGTAGTGACGATGCTCCGGGCCCGTGTTCCAAAATTTTACCGGGCCCCTACTCCTGCGAGATAAAAAAATCGAAAAATCAAGGAAAAATATATATATATTTTGTGCAACCATCCGCGAAGTGAGCTTTCGCAGGCGCCACCCAGTCCGCGAAATTGAATTTCCCGGCCCTTGGTGACGGCCGCGAAACTATTAATCAAAATTTGACACTTTGACAACAACAATGAGTAAATTTTATTTCCAAAATCTTCAGAACAACATAAATTATTTAGGATAAATATTAAGACTTACGTGATAGTTTGCATTATTACTATATTTACTCTTGAAGCTGAAGCAACTAATAATCCAGTGTTTTTGAATTGAACTCTCAAAACTTTCCATTTCTGCATTGAATAAGCCAATAATATGTTTTCAGACACCATTTTGACGTTTTGTTTGTCACACCAATTTTTGGAACTCGGGAGTAACAATATTTATACTGCCGCTTAGTTTTTCAGGTATTAACTCAGAAATAGCTGATTGAACCATATTTTTTAGCTCTGGAGGAGTGCAAGAAAGTGAAATACCTATCTATATCGCTGTCGGACATTTCCACGATTTTTTGAGAACCGTCAAAATTTTTTGTGTATTTGTTTACTTGCAAAATATGTCATCCATTACATCCATAGAAACGCTGTGCCACCATAGCCACCAGGTTATACATTAAGCTGATAGTTAGTTCCACATGTTTGTTGAAAAGAGTAAATGTTTTCTGTAATTTCACATAATTTTTATGGTTGCACAAAAAATAGTGTGTATACCATGACAACGAAACTTTTTAGCGTCCTCGAGATTATCTTGCCTCGGCCGCAAGCAGCCTCGGCGATAATTTTTCTCTACGTACGCTAAAAGGCACTTCGCGGCCTTGGTATACAAATAACTATTTTTTTTCTAAATATGCAGGGTGAACGAAAGTATGGAACATATTTAGTATAAAATAAATAAAGGCGTTTTGGAAAAACCGCTCGAACACGTCGATTTGGTTTTTTTTTCTTGAAATTTTTTCACATCAATTGTTTTATACAGGTGGTCCAAGAACAGCTGTACCGTACCGTTATCCACTTTATTTTTTTAAATCGTACATTCTGCATATCATGAAAGGACATCGCACACATCTTATGGGTTTTCGGGGACCGGTCGATTTTTTTAAAAATTTGGTATGTTGTAGTACTAGGGAAAATAAGTATTTTTCATCCTTGCGCAAAATCTCTAACTATACAGGGTGACCCAGTAAAGTAGGTTCGAAAATCATAAACCAAGCCTTTCTATTATCGGTATTAGCGCGCCCTGCAAGCTAAATATCGAGATTTTTGTTTTCGATTTCGCAAATAAATAGTCAGATGAGCTTAATATACCGAGCTTGCTTTTTTTTTAGAAATCCTGCCCTATTTTTAGAAATAGTGTTACCAAAAAGGCGCTGGATTTCATTCAGCTGTAACTTTTTTAATTTTTGTCCGATTTAAAAAAATGTGGTATCAAAATAAAGCCTATATCACAGGGATGTCATGAAATCTAAAAAAATTGAAAATGTGATAAAATTCGAGATGGTTGAACGTGATAAAAGTATAACTTTTCATTCAATTAGGGTCTTGGATACACCAAATACACCTGAATTAAGGAGCGGTTCCTCAATTGCGAGTAACTCTAGGGGTTAACTAACCCGGTGTTAATTTCAAACTTGCAGGTTAACTGAGGATTGTGTTTCTCAAGCATCCACTGTAAGTGAAGTTAATAAACACTGGGTTAAGCAATAGTTGGTAGCATTATTGTTTACCAGAATGGTGATCCTAACATATTTTTGATTGGTTGAAAGCAGTCACGCATGGGTCGATCGTCAAATTAGCCCATTCACAAAACTTTTTGGAGTTTGTTGTTAAGTTAATGATAAGTTAGAGTATTCTTTTTGGCGCACCGTTTTTTCATTACAATTTGTTAATTTTTGAAGAGCGTGGTTAATGCAGTGTGTGTAGTCAATAGTCATGGAGAAGAAAGATATCGCAAGAGGAAAAAACTTCCTTGAATTAAAAAAATAATAATAATCAAGCTATAATATAAGCGAAATATAGGGTGCACGAGGTCAGACATGAACTTTTAATCCTTTGTAGAGAAATCCTAGTCATCGTATTTCTCGAGAGGATTAATCCTTTGGCGGATTATATGAGGCGTTTTCCTACGAAATTGTAGAAATCTTCATCTTCATCAATCAATCCATATATTTCTATTTTGAAAAAAAAATATAACCACAAAATTGACAAATCACGGGAATGACTCGCTATTGATAAACCGGCCCTAATATAAGTAACGTATTTGATGGATACTTCACATTGTTCTCATGTCGATCGTAGCTAAAGTACCTAACAACGCGATAACTTTGCATGTGCAGTATGTGCCCAATACTGGATTCCCTCCATCCAGCCCAGGGGAGCACAAAAATGATACAAACAGAAAATCTCTGCTTACTTATCTTGTGTGAACCCCGGAAATATTTAGATATATTCGGAAAGTTTTAGTTCATGAATACTCAACAGTGAGAATAGAAAAATTAATATAATTTTCATGTAAATCGACTTAAGGCCCACCCCACCACCCCTAAGTTGGAGGTTTTCTCTTTGAATCCTTTCATGTAGGGCATTTTCAATATTTTGCACTAGTCACAACATTCTGTGTTAAACACAGATTTCAAATGTCCATCCAACATGTCTTTGTAATCTTACGAGTATTATTTGCTTCCTCAGATGTAAATTATTGACGATGTCTGGCCAAAAAAGGCGATATTTCACACGAATTCTATGAGACTTGTCATTTTTTCAGATTTCATGACATCCCTCTGTGATGTAAGCTTTATTTTGAGACCAGATTTTCTGAAATCAGACAAAAATTGGAAAAGTTACGGGCAAATTAATTCCAGCACGACCTTTTTCGTAACACTATTACTAA